TGGACCAGCATCCCAACTCTATAGAAACAAGGAGTCTAGGTCAAGAGCTATGAACAAGTTTAGACTAAAGGTAGATGTCACTTTGGACTTAGATCTGCTCAAGAGTAATACCTATTTTTTTTCTAATTCAAGTCAATTCTTTTCTTAATATTTTTCTTTCTTAATCATTTCCTGAACACTGGAAATTTTGAAAACATTCCTTTCATTTTACTGGACTTAATATTTTCACCCATGAAAATTTGCAACTCTATTTGTGCCTATGGATTATTTATTATGGCATCCAGCATAAGACATAACTACACTGGTTGCCTGAAAGTAACCACAGTTGATTTTTCCTTCTCAGGTTCCAGAAAACTACAAATACACAAAAAATGAGGTGCAGGAATGTGCTGATTCTGACTTTATTTTAGGACAAAGCTGGTACATTCTGGCTGGGATGAAGTCATTTTTGCCTTGACCAATATATATCCTCCCCGCCCTGACTCAAATCCATTTGGTCTTGCAGCCAGATAAGACCACGATTCTGTAAGTCCCCTATTAATTTGTGTTCCTTGAAATCCTGGATCCATCTTCTTCTCTTCAGGTTGACAGCACCTTGGGCCCAGCTCTCATATATTGAGACCAGATTGTTCAGAAATACTATGCTTTTAGAAAGCAGCCAAAGTCAGGAAACTGCCTCACCCTTTTGTATTCTAGAAATTACTTATTGCAAAGAACCCTCACACCCCATATTACTTGGATGACAGTGTGGATGAACTTCTTGGTTACAAACACCATGACAAGGCCAGACACAGACCTTCCCAATTCCTACTCTGTGGCAGAAATTGAACTATTTTCCACCACTGACCAATTTGAACAAAATACTTGATAATTTTACCAAACTTAGTTAAGCCTCTTGTTTTTTTCATTCCCCTGATCTTTGAACCGTCCTTATATTTGAGCAAGTCCTGGGAGTTTAAACACTGGGAGGTAGAATATTGCCTCCCAAAACATCCCTCTCAGAATTGACTTCCCATAAAGACAAGGCTTCTTCTCTTGACTGCTCACCCCACTTCCACACTTCTGGCTTTTTAGTCTCTTTTATTTGTCCTCAAAGAGAAGTGCTGTCTTCCTGCCTTCTGAGATGGTTACAGTTCACCTCTCTGGGCTGTCTCCTCATCCTCTTTGCAGCAGAGCCTGGTCTTCCACCACAATATTTTCAAATAACGCTCTCCTTCTCTCACTCAGGGTTTGTTACTGGACACGTGAACATGATTGGCATTCTCATTGATTTCCAAGCCTTTTGTCCCATCCCTACATTCTAATTTTCTTGGTCCTCATCCATTTTTCTGTTGCCCTTAGAAATCTCACTGTAGAAGCATATTACGGACAAGACGGTTTTGTCACCATGGAAACCTTTGTGTAGACTGCACACTAGAAACACATTCGTTTTGTAACATTCAATGAACTATGAGAAATTTGTAGAATTTCATTAATTGATGCTGACAGGAGTAATTGTAGAAAATGAAACCTGACAAAATTCTTAGAGAAACTGAGGATAATTTAAAATTTACACACTAAACTTCCTGAAGCTGACTTTTTTTTTTTTTTTAAAGTCATGGTTGCCTGTTTTTACAAACAGGTCAAAGACAATCTAGAAATTCAAGTTGTTTATCTCTTGAGCCTCTTCTTGCTCATGCATCGATGATAACAAAACCAGTGAAATATTAAATGTGTTTAAACCAAGTATGAACCACACCTGGGCACAGAGGCAGGTCTACTTAGGATGGCCAGTCATTTTGAATTGAGCAATCAGTTCAGTCAGTCCTGTTCTTCCCACCCCTCTGAGAGCTAGTGTGTTTTCTGTTTAAAGCCTTTGTTTCTTGCCTGAAAATATTCCAAAAGAACTTTGCAATTAGATTTGGGAACTTAACAGTCTAAAAGGGTAGAGTGGAAAACACTGCGATGTCAGGGAAATGGCTGGGTGAGGGGAGTCGGGAGACCTCTGATCTCACACTGGACACATCATTCATTACAGTGATCTTCAGAGGGACTCTTAACCTCTCCATTTCTTTAGGAAAGTTATTTCTCTTTAAAAAAATTATGAAGCCAGGCATGGTAATACATGCCTTTAATCCTGACACTCAGAAGGCAGAGGTAGGCAGATGATCTCTTCGAGGTTGAGGCCAGGGGATACAGGGAAACCCTGTCTCAAAAAATAAACCAAGAACCCAACACAGCAACACAAAATGATATGTATGGGTGTGTGTCTGTATGTAGGTATATGCGTGTGAGAGCAGGTACCGATGGAGGCCAGAATCATCAGATCCCTCAGAGCTGGAGTTACAGGTGGTTGTGAGCCACCCAACATGGGTTCTGGGAATGAAACTTGGGTTCTCTGAATGCTCAGTAGGTAATCTTGACCACCAAATTATCTTTTCAGTCCCATAAGATAATTGATTCTTGACTCATATGTTGATGGTAAGAACTAAAAGAGATAATATGTGGCAATAAGTATTAATGTTTAACATTACCTATTTTGTATGAGTGTCTGTTATGTCTAATAGATTATCAGCAACCTAACACTCAGATCCCGGGAAGATTGCCAGCTTAATGGAGGAGCAAATCTACCATAGTTGCTTGGTAATTTTAGGGCATGATTCAATACGTATGACTGTAAGAAATACTAAGATAAATTCCACAAGTAATTTAACAAATATTTATTGTGTGAACGTTACTGTGCTAAGTCCCTTAAATACAAAATGGATCAGACATGAATTCTTCCCTCTAGGTACTTACAGTCTACCAGAGGATATCAGAGATAAGTCACAGAAGATTTGAAAAGTCCTATGAGAAGCACAGAAACAGTGTCCAAAGAATTAATAGGAGAAATTGATTTTATCTCAGAATCATGGAAAACTTTATGAAAATAAAACTTGTATTTTACCTGAAGTATAAGTAAAATTTAGATGTGAGGAAAAGGTACAAAATTCTGTTCCAAGGCCACAAAGAACCTGGCAGATTGTGAGCACAGTGCGGGATGGGAAGGAACTGTCCATGAACGGAAGATGGTCTCTATCTAAGGGGACAACTGTGACACAACTTTAAAGATATGTGAGTATACAAACAGGTAGGGGAAAAAGAGGTGGTCTAGAAGAGGGCTTTCTGAAATTATGATTCCTTGGTACTTTTCAACCTGTATTTTTTCTTATAGATTAAAAAATAAAAGCAAAAACATCAAGTATGGTCACAATTTGATATACTTATTAGCAAACCCAAACATCTAGCCCAACATATTTTGATAGTTAATTTCTGCTTAATTGACATGTATTAATCTAAGATCGAGTCACTGGAATTAA